GAAACTGGAATGAAAGATAGGTGAGTTATACAAGGAATGAAAAGCTTCGAAAGTTTAATAGAATGAAAAAATAGTACTGGATGAAAAGGAAAGCCAATAATAGCGCCATGCGTATGAGGAATAGGATTCCTAATCCTTCACATGCTGACGCAATATATATACATCTACTTATAGGATGCATAATCACGTCCGTTTCAGTTATCAGTGGTGGTGTTGTCTGAAGTTGACGAAAAACGAAGTTATTTCTGCCGAGTGAGGTAACAATATAACCGTGTAAAAAAAAAATCTAAAACGAAAAAGAAAAGACGAATTGTTTTCCTGTCTTTATTTAGTAATTCGTGTCCCAAGTAATCTTAATTATTAAATTTAGACACTTTAGAAAAGATTCACGAAAATTAAAGTTTCAAGTGTACGATGAATGACACGTCACTTCAGACTTTGTAATTAAGCAAAGTAAAGTGTGCAAAATTTGAAACTTGTAGAAATGACTCTAAAATATTGAAAGCTACAGCGTAGTCAAGTTGGGAGAAAACAACAGGAATCATCCAAGTCATCCTGTCATCTAGTAACAAATCATTCATAGTTTTTTCTGGATTAAGAATTGATGCTTTCTTTTGTTCATGTTTATTATTATTATTATCAGTCTACTGAAACTTTTCTAAGACAGTAGAAAATGAAAAGCAGAGTTTAGACTTTCAAGCATCTCTAAAGGATAACCTTTTCTTCAAACACTGTGATTGAACCTTAGCAACTTTTGAAACAACTGCATCAATGTCTGCCATCGGTTAGCACTGCGATATACGGTTTCTTACTGGTAACACGTATAACAAACAAAGCCAGTTAGCCATAGGGCGTGATAAAAACTTGAAATATAACGAAATGGTTAAAACTGCTTTAAAAGAAAGACATGTTGTCAACATCTACATCAAACACCTGTCTTCTGAATCTGTAGATCTTTTAGCAGGAATATTGAACATATTATTTTTTTTTTTTTGTATTACAATAACTTTAAACTGTTTTGTTTGTTTTTCACGTTCTATATAGGCTTTGGGATGTGACGCGATTTTAAGTTTATTTGTTTGTATTTCCAGGCTGTCTCTACAGTTTATATTAAATACAGTCCTTAACTGTTTATTTAATTTTTTTGTCCTTTTAACGTTTGAGTAACGTCATGGTTTCCTCAATTTTTCGTCTTTATACTAACTCCTACATTATTATTTTTTTTTACTCAGCTTGTCTGTACTTGTTCACAAATTACTCACCGGATCTACCACTTGTTTAAATTTAATCCGTTCTTATTCAGGTGAACCTGTACATTTATATCAACAAAACCTTCGCCATTCACTTTTAGAAACATTTTAAATTATATCTATAGCATATGCACATCATATCGTTATGGAAACTTAATGATCCACACAGTCTTGTTCTGGCGGATCCCGACAGGGTTCTTGGGTAAGGGATCCCAGAAACACCAAAATCAGGCTGTCGCTAGGGGAAAGAACAGAGGAGGTAAGAAGACAACATGCTGAGAGCCTGCTTGTTGTTTTGTCGACAAACCTTAGCGAGACCAGATCCGCGTCGGAAACTGCTATCCTTCCTATTTAATGGTTATCTTACTTTTGTTCCACATTATTTTATTACGGTTGTCAAGCGATGGTTAGTGACAGGTAATGCATTCCCCTCCTAGATTGTAGGGCCAAGATGGAGGCTTCACAAAAGAAGTTGTTAACATGTTAGGTTTTTGTTTGTGTAAATAACCGGTACTGACTTGGCCGAAATAAACAGTGTACATCTATTGTGTGTAGTTTTTAATGTCTTAGTACGTGCATTTGTATATAATAATGATACAAGAACTATACAACTATATAATTTGGTTTAAACGTGTTTAAAAAAACTTAAGATAATTTCATAACAAGGTAGTTAAACGACGTTTTCTAGCTTTCCTATACAAAACTCAGAAGTGTTTCATCTCTCACGCAGCGTTTTATAGTACAGTTACTCTCACAAAGCCGTTCGGGGTTACTCGTTTTGAGCTCAGTTCTGACCCAGTTAGCCTTTCGACCTCGTGGTTATTCTCCCCTTTCACGAAGCCCGAGGAGATGTTTTCAACTTTTGTACTGACCATCTCAAAATAATTATTTCTTTTATTACTTAAAAGCTACGTGAAGTCTTGCTCGTTTTGTACGTTTTACATTTATTGTTAGTCATTTATTGAATATAATTTCATGGACGAAGAAGATAGTTGAAAACGATTAACAAAATTTGTTTACTTAAATTGCTTAAGAGGTTTGTTTGTTTGTTTCGGAAATTTGCGCAAAGCTATACAAGGGTTGCTTGCGTTAGCTGTCCCTAATTCTTAATTGATAGACTAGAGGGAAGGCAACAGTTAAACTCTTTGGCTACATTAATGGAAATGTTTGATTGCCATTTTAGTAACGTACCCACGGTTCGAGAGTGCGGAGGTTTTTGAAGCTAAAGGACGCAAACCCTGGACCCTCGAACTGACAGTATGGCACGTTAACCATTAAGCCACGCCCGGGCAAGGAAAAAAAGGACACGAAATTGTGTTTGATGACTGTGCAGTAAAATATGCATTGTTATAATGTACCTTCGAGATTATATCTAACAAGTGTTTAATGGTATAACATATGTATTTGTGTAAACGGTTCAGTTATGATGGCCTTTAATCATAACACTGATAATTAATAATTGCGTAGGCATATATCACTATATATTTGACTATGTCTAATAGTTTCTAAGATATAACAAAAGTATGAAAACGCCCCGAGGAAATAATTTTCTTGGAGTGACAACAAAAAATTGCTGACTCATAATTCGGTTCTATTCATTGTTTTTCAACTCAAATGAAGACAGCTTTTGGTTTCCCACATTTGGAGACCTACTTCAATAACACCATGAAGATATTTATTAAGTAAATGAAAATAATAACATTTGAGTGTTAGTATATTTCACAAAATCGTTACACCAACTTAGATTCTCCAGGAGTTGACTTAGAGTTTTCCTGGCCTAGATTTGAATTACTCCTCTAATGAGATGACAAATTAAGCTTGCACGCTAGTTTTTCTACTCCAAAGATAGATGAAGTTGGGACTTTGCTGTCACCGAACTCCTGAGATACCCTGTTTTTGCAGCTGGCGAACTACTGCTCATGCGCTCTCTAATAACAGGGTCCATGTGATTACAGAGGACGGTTTGCGCCGCATCATCAGAGCTATTAAATACAAATATCAGACCTGTCGACTTCTGATTTTGAGTTACAATGATGGCAGAGAATAGAGGCCACTGCCAGAACTGGGAACCTGTCATTAAGACTATTTGATTGCGACGAATTTCTCATTTAAATACTCTCAGACGCCAAGAATTGGATTACAAAAGTGTCTTAATAAAATGAAAGGGCCTGATGATTAGTGCGCTCGACTCGCCATCTGCAGGTCGTGGGTTCGAATCCCACCATCGAACATGCTCGCCCTTTTAGCCGTGGGGGCGTTAAATGTGACAGTAAATCCCACTTCTTGTTGGTAAAAGAGTAGCCCAAGAGTTGGCGGTGAGTGATATTGACTGGTAGTTGCTTTCCCTCTACTCTGTCACTTCTAATTATGAACGACTAGCGCAGACAGCCTCGAGTAGCTTTGCGAAATTCACCAACCAACTAACCAAACAAAATGGAAGCCAGTATCCAACGGTAACGAGTAAGGCTAGTTTATGTAAATTTTGTGTTGTTTCAGTATTTTAACAACTTTCGTTAGGAATGACTGTAATGCACTGGTGAGATCCACACTGAGTCTGCAATGTCTGTCTGATTTTGTTGTGACCCAAGATCGACGAGCAAGCTGGAACTATCTCTACTTCACAACTATGAATTGGCCCACGCGTAAACATTTAAACTAGATGCATGTAGTAATGACTTGGGGTTTTCTTCTGTGGTAGATACATTTATTTCATATTCGGTTATTCTAAAAGGATTAAAGCATAATCTTCAGTTAAAGTTGTGAAAAACTTATAATTTGGTTTCACTGATCTGACAAAAAAAGAAAATAAAAAAGATCTGTTTAAAAACAAAAATAAATTGTAGTTTTTTTTGTTGTTTTTTACCATTAATAACATCCGGGTAGTGACAAACAACTGATTGAATATGGGGTTTTGAACATGTCTGAAATGGTGAGAAATGGCTGACGTTCCGGAAACTAGTATCCCTCCAGAACTGTGCTAAATTTCTGGTCAATTTGAAATGATTTGTTATTATCGAGTATTATAATCTAATCCCTATGGTGCAATCAAATATGAAGCAGATGAATCTACAACAGAAGAAAAAGCCTTCAAGTCATATTGACTTGCATCTAAGCTAGATGGGCCATTTCACAGTTTGGCACATGTCCTTGTGAAGAAGATAGCTCCAGTGTCAAATACAATAAGGTGTGCTCGTCGATCTTGAGGTCACAAAACCACGTTCAGCTTTTGTGTCCTCTTGTCCGATGAGAAACTGGATATAAATTAGTGAACACGTTATCGGGAGAATCATCAATCTTTGTCCAGCTACAGCCTTTTGAGGAAACCAGTCCGTTCCGTGAAAACTTAATTACTCGTATCCCGCGGCTCCGGTAAACTGCTTGCGTTGCTAGAGGATCAGAGGAGGGCGAGAGCCCGTTCTCACAGTGTTGCTCTTACTCTGGTAACTGTCAAGTCATGCATTATGTGTCTATTCCTGGGGACTAGTTGACCCCCTGCAGCTCTTCTATGGGCCTGTTTGTCGGGCCTGTCACGCAGTAAGGTCGGCGATAGGTCCGCGCACAGTTGTCCTTCAATTTCGTATAGTGCAGCCATGTTTGAGTTGGTATGCCTTTGACTGAGAAATACAAAAGAAAATTCTGAGAAGACAAACTAATAGCATGAACTGGATTGACTGTGAAAAACGTTCTGTTTTATTGAAATTCTGTGTATTTTGTATCTCATGCCTCAAAAGTGCGTGTCTTTTCCTTCAGGCCTTCCTCTTCAGTTCCCGAGTGCCTTCGCCACAGTGCACGCACCGATTCCTGTGGACCAGAGAACGCACGAGGGCCGTTATGTGTGGGAACCGCGGCTACATTCCCTGCACCACCCGTCTCCAACCGGGTAAGTTGCCTTCTTCAATCAACTATAGACGTTTAAAAATAATCATGTTGTTACAATTTTAAACACATTTTAGGACTACCACGACCTCTAAACAGATAAAGTAATAATGAATAAATAAACATGTCAAAGGTTCTATATAAACGTATCCGGGGGTCAAATTATGTAGTTTAATGTACGAAAACATGGTGTTTCTTTTTCATATCTATATAAACGAGTAGCCCAAACATAGCGTTTTTAGATGGGTTAAATAGTTTTTTTTTCTCAACTGACAGAGATATTTAACTGAAATAGCTTATCATACTATAGTACAGAAATCGAAAGCTGTGATAAGCAAAGATATTTTTTGGTAAAAGTCTGTAACCATGGTTTTTTAAAGCTAATTTGTATGTGCATAATCCAAATATGTGGATTACCAAAATTTCGTTTTTCAGGAAATGCTCGAAATAGAGAATAAGCAGAATGTCCTTCGTTTCCCCTCCATAATTACAAAGATTTAGTTTATAAGATTTGAAAAAGAAATTCGGATATCCGTTGTCATACAACTTTTGTTTATTTGTATTAGACGAAATCCACAATGTAAAAATAGTACCTATGAGAAATGTGCCGTGCACTGAATGGTTTAAGAATTACTTGAAAA